AATATATAGTAGCAAAGATCAATCTTTTCAAAAGCATAAAGTGCTCCCAAGCAGTGCAATTGTTCATTCCAAAGGTGCTAAGTGCCATCTTTGGTCATTGCACAAGAAAAATGAGGTGTTAAAGAATAAATAGTTATATCTTTACTAATTTTTAATATGATGAATATTTTTTAACACCTTGTTCAAAACAAGAAAAATTATTATGATGAGATAAAAAGCTGGCAAGGTTCAAAAGATGGGAAAAAAACTATGATTGCTCGACTCTCACATAATTGCAATGTAGAATATTTATTCTATTGTCAAAATCTATATATTAAAGTTCACCATCCAAGATCATCAATTGAGGAATTTAGAAATGAAAAATATGAACACAATAGAAATGAATAGGATTTTCAAACCTGATTACTAAACTTCTTCTGAAGATGTTGTGCAAGAACGACGGCATCTAACTGCAATAGAAAAATCATAGCTAGCATCAAAAATGGAATTCATTCATTGAGCATTGGTAATACAAAAAAATATATAGGTTATTCTTTGGCATTTATGCAGTTTATAGCTTATGTGATTTCAATATTGAACCGTACCTCTTCATTTCTATTGGCTTTTGCTTTAACATAGTCCAGCTCAAGAGTAAGCAATGCCAGAGAAAAATTAGGCGGTGGAAAAAATCTGAAAGAGATCTCATAATGTGAAATATGAACACAGAGGTAAAGGAAATGCTAGAGAAAAAAAACCAAATGAAGATATGATGAAGAGAGGAAAAAAAAAATCTCACAGCATAACAGATATTTGATCGCCAGCAGATACTTTTGTGTGCCGACGGTGGACAGAATTCAGAGCAATTTGACCATCACTAACGTTGATATGGCTAGTAAGAATTTATTAAGGATTAACTCAAAAAATGCATAATGAACATTAAACAAATTAAACGAGCAATCGAACAAATTCGAAACATATTTAAAGAAACTTGTAAAAAAATTGAATGATCTGATTGTAAAAAAAGCCGAATAAAGGATATATAAGGGGAAGAACCACAGAATCTCCAACGATAACCTGAGCAGAGTTGGATCCACGGATCTCAAACTTCCGGAAATCGCCGGCGGAGCAGTAAGCGAAGTTGGTGAAGGCGAGCTCCTGGCTCGGCGTATTTACAACGATCATTGTGGACGAGTTGTGGCCAAACCCTGGCTCCAGATTTCTCCTCATATGCGAAAGCCGGGAAAGAGAAACTGGAGGTAGCAAAAGCGGGAAAGATTGGCACTGAAATATTTTGCGTGAAGGACATGAGAAAATTACCAAGAAATTCAGCAGAAAAATTAGTTGAATCAACGGCAAATATTCAGAACTCTATGCGGCTGTTATCCAATCAAACAGGATTTAGAAAACTGCACGAGTTAAATCCTCCGTGTCCCTCTTTTTGCCATAAATCCCGGATTTACTTAATCCGGAAGTTCGGCGGATTTACGGGCTACCTTGGCAAC